TACTGTGGTTTTATCCGTTTGGCTGTAATTCACGTTCAAATTTGAAAAATGCTCGAAAAAGCAGTATTTTCACATTTCTTATTTCGTTTTCATTATCTTCGTTACTAACTCATCCACGGAGAAAAAATAAATCAACTTCTGAATTCAATACAATTGTACATCCATTTCTAAATCTATTCATTGACAATAACTTAATTTGTAATTTCTTGTCTGTTATTATTTCTGGTCATATTCTGCGCCAAACAACATTTAATCCTTTCTTAATGACTTCTTTCCAAGAAGTTTTAATTGTATTTTCTTTTTCAGCCTTTAGAGTTCAATAAAAGTGCTTAATGTTCGACGCAGATAATAAGCTTTAAATGATGCCATTACTCCGTTCAATTGTGTTAACTGAAAAAAATGAGGACTTACTTTTATCAGAATGATTTGTTATTTAGAGCAAATTAATTTAACAACTATTAATTGCTCCAAATAGGTATCTGTTTAACCTCATTTAATTATCAACTCATTCTGTATTTATTGTTCCTAATAAATATACACAACACTCATAAAAAGCATACATATTTGTACCCTAAATAATGTTTTGTTGAAAAACTCGAACTTTAGAAGTAAACACGTAATAAAATCCAGTGAAGTGATAATAATTATAATTTATTGTTTTCATATATGTATATATATCATATTTCTGTAAACTCATATATTAATAGCTTTTGTAATCTTTTTTTTTAAAAACATAAATTGCATTGGAAATATTCGAATGCTACCAACAACAAATATAATTGCATTCACTATATATATATTATAAATATATTATTTTGTACACCATAAAACTAATATTTGAACTGTATCATTTCTTCAGAAGTCTTTGCATGTCTTTGTTTTGTTTCTTAATGTTAACGTCGGCCATCTCCGTTTTATCTGTGATGTTATCGAGTAAATCGTTTTGTGTATCAATTTCCAAATTGAGATCAGTCGCCAGTCCTTTCAACCGCGATATGGACGAACTCATCTCCATTAAATTAGCTTCCAAACGAGCGCTTATCTCTTTGCTGCCAGATTGAGCAACTTGCTGCTGCTCGACTCCTCTCAATCTTGTAACAGGATGATTTTCATATCTATCATATTGATCAGACATGTTCTGCTTAGGTTGCTGAAACACATCGGATTAATTAACAATTTCCAGATGAAAAATATGTTCAATTTATTTGTACCTCATTTGTAGTCGTCTTTGAAGATGTCACTGAGCTAGGACTTTGCGGATCACTTCTACCTGACATATAATTCTTCAAGCTGCTGAACACAGATTTAATACCATTTATATGCTTCTGAGAGAACCTCAGGGTATGGTTGATTTCATCCAATCTCTTATCCGTACGCTCCAATTGCTCCCTTTGTCTGGACAACTCCTCAGCAGTCGCAATACCAATTTGCTCAGAGTCTCTAAGGATACCTATGCTGCGCTCCGTGCTTTGTATCGTCCTGTCCTCAATCTGCTTCCTACGTTCCTGGAAGGATTGTACTTGTTGATCGAACGATTGATTGCCATTGTACGATCGTCGCGAGTTTTTCAGGAAAGTTTCGTCATCCACGTCGTCCTCGTCGAAGGGCTTTGAGGAACTCGTGTATCTATGTGAAGACATTATTTCAGACCAGGGGGGGTTCACGGGATACGGCATAATTGTAATCTTTTTTTTTTACAAAAAATCAGTTGGTATTGGAGGGAGGGAGAGAAGAAGATTTTTCGTACGAGATCGGTTGAATTCG